TAGACTTCCGACGCTCGCAGATCGCTCGATAGCACCTCGTTCGCTCGTAACCTGAGCCAGATTATCAACGTACGTACATACTTATGAGATGAGATTCTCTCCGAAATTGGGGTGGACTGGCGGAAGCCTGAAGACCGTCATCGAGCGTTGATTGATGTGGGCTGGGAGGCCTGGAGGGGTCGGACTCAGACGATTCGCTCGTCCCCATCCAGATGGGATCTTCCTTTTTAGAAAGAGTATCGATCAAATCCTGACAATAATGGATCCAGACCAAGAATATGGTTGCCAGCAGACTTTGAAACAAAAATTTCCCTTCATCGATCTTTCCCCCCGAGTTCAAAATGGTCCTCCTAGGACTCATCAATTCTCGTGCAGTTCCGGAGCTGCAATCATACAAAGAGATTTCGCTACAACCCCTCACCCAATATGTCCCCTGTTTGCCTATTGTTCTGTAGATCCGTTATGGTGTAGTGGCTAACATTATCGCCTCTCATAAGACTTGTAATTTCGCGAGCGCGATAGCCCAGGGTTCGATTCCCTGTAACGGAATTTTGTGCTAGTCTTAAAGCTAACAACCATTTTTACTCTCTGTGTCTATACAACTTATGAGAAACCTCCCGACAATCCACGCTAGACTATGGAGCGTTGGCCGGTTTGTCTCAGTCTCCCGTGGGTATAAAGACAGTAGGACTCAACCTTACATAAGTTTTTTTAAATACCAGTGTTTTCTTCTTCTCATGGGCCAGCCTTTTTGAGCTAGATCCACACTGCTATCACACAAGTATAGAGACTTGCAACAAACTTGGCTATCCCGATGATTGATTTATCTACTTGTGGCTGCACGACTACGCCGGGGACTACTTAGACCATTGTCATCGGAGCTCGAGAAGGATGGCGGTATGCACTTGCGTTGCATCTCGGCTTTAATCTTCACGGATTCCGGTCGACGAAGTGGATGAGTCAAAAATCCTTCTCAGACCCAAAAAATCGCCGACCGAACACCGAACATGACTGTCCCAACGAATGTCCTATTGAGACGTACAAGTTCTTGTCGTTCTTAGGGTGATTTGAATTTACACATTCGAGGGGTGAAGGAATCAAAGATCGAGAGCCTTGCTCAGAGAAGCATCAAATAAATCAGATAGGCGATGAGCATATCAAATAGTGCCAGAGAATGGCGGCTCAGATGAGGACAACTACCGTATACGGCACACGGAGATCGTTCCTCAGCACCAATGAGACTATTACACAGAGAGTATCGGTATAAGAGCATCTCTACCGTGTGGCTGGCTTGCCATTGCGATACCGGCCGAACTCGACGGTGTGGTGCTGGAATCATCGTGGTTCGCGAGGTGCCGTTGTATATGACCTGTCGGATTTGGTATGGTGATATTCTATAGAGTGCTCCAGTTGAAACCTTTCTTTCAAATTCAAAGACCATGTCAGCCATCGTAGTCACAGTGCGATGATCAATGATATTTGGACACTCAAAATGGCATGAATCTTGGCAGGTGCTTGATTGAGGCCCGGGATAGTTGACTATTGGCCATACACTCATTTCGGAGTCCAACCGTGTAAGGTGTAGGCTGGTATAAACTATCATGACCACTCTTAGGAGAAGCATCGCTTTGGACCGTGATTTCAACTTACAACTCTTACGGTGATCCATTAGCCTTCGACTCCTGGTTCGATAACAAAAACCTACGGCCTCGGGGCCGTCAACGAAGAACGAAGCGTATAAATCCAGATTGGGCCCACCGAGTTAAATTGAACTCCTAGGTTTGTCAGTCCGGCTGTAGTACTAGAGACGTGAGCAAACTTATGAAAGTGAATATTGACGCCACTCAGGACAACTATCGCAGTGGTTGCTCGGCAACGTCCGACGCCTTTGCCTCGGCCGAATCGGCCCCGCACACAGGTATCCCGATCC